TACTATAGGCACACGCCACTACGCCTGGCTAATTTTTGTATTTTTGTAGAGACGGAGTTTCACCATGTTGCCCACACTGGTCTTGAACTCCTGAACTCAAGTGATCCTCCCACCTCGGCCTCCCAAAGTGCTGGGATTACAGGCGTGAGCCACCACACCTGACCTGTTTGTGTTGGTTTAGGCCACTAAGTGTGTGGTAATTTGTTACAGCAGCCATAGAAAACGAATACAGAGGGCATGGGGAATGAAGCACCAGCACTTAAATCTGCCTGGCGCTGACATCTGGCACTTCTACTCATATTTCATTGGCCAGAGCAAGCCACATGGACATGCCTAACTTCATAGTACCACAGAAATCTGATATTCACATACCCCCAGGCTTAGAGGGAAACTGAATTTTGGTGAATATAATAATGTCTATTATACCTTGCTACCTGCAGTGCATGCTTATATTTTCTATTCCATTCCATTTCATTAAAAAAAAAAAACTCTTAAGTTGGTTATTTATTTATTTATTTATTTATTTTTGAGACGGAATCTTGCTCTGTTGCCTAAGCTGGAGTGCAGTGGCACCATCTCAGCTCACTGCAACCTCTGCCTCCCTGGTTCAAGCAATTCTTCTGCCTCAGCCTCCCGAGTAGCTGGAACTACAGACGCATGACACCATGCCTGGCTAATTTTTGTATTTTTAGTAGAGACGGAGTGTCACTATGTTGACCAGGCTGGTCTTGAACTCCTGACCTCAAGTGATCCTCCCACCTCCACCTCCCAAAGTGCTGGGATTACAGGCATGAGCCACCATGCCCAGCCATAAGTTGGTTTTATTATCAACTAGTATGTTGTGATCCCCTGTTTGGAAAACATTACAGACCCTCTTCTGCCCAGGCCTCCTGGACCATATGACACACCTAGATATAGCTGATTGGCCCAGGTGTGGAACACATGACCAATGCTGACCAATCAAATTCCTCTCCTGGGAATTTGGAAGTGGGCCATTCAACCAGTTAGCAGTGGGAAGCTGAGTGAGAAGCAGAGTGGAAACAGTGTCAGAGTGGGAGTCACATCCAAACCAAAAGGATGGAGGAGGAGAAAAGCCTTGAGTAAGTAGAGACAGCTGGTCCACAGAGGCAATGGGGCAGCCGCCCAGAAAGCAGTGCAACTGGGAGAACATGCAGCCCCAGGAGGAGAGGTGCAGAGAGAGTGAGACTGCCTGAGATTCAGATGGCTTCCCAGGTCCTGCGCCAGCCACCATGCATCCTGCCTGCATCCCTTGAGAGTTTTGCCTTCTTATAACATGCCCTCCGCTTTTCTTGACCTACCCTGGGTGGTGGGGTCGGGTGCAGTGGGGGCTGGTTGTGTTCCTCGTCTCCACTGAGGCTTAATCAGCTGGAACACTGCCCGTATGTCTCTTATAGGCACCCAGCTCTGTGAATCAGGCCGTGGGGCATAGATGGGGCTGGGGGCGAGACAGACCCTGCCTCTGGCATCCTGGAAATTTAGCTTTGACCAGTCTTGGACGTGTGTGCATGCTCTTCAAAGTTGACAGACAGAGCCATCTGTGTGACACTGCATAGGTGGAGGTCCCAGGAAACGAAAAATCCTCACAGGGGCCTCTTTTCTGATAGTGTTAGGGTCAGGAAGTCAGAGGAGTTTTATCACAGAGGGCTTGACAGTGTCACGGAGTGGAAAGTACATGGGCTCTGGAGACAGGCAGACCATGCTTCACCTTGGTGAGCCTCAATTTCCTCATCTCTGAAATGAGATTGTAAGGATCAGCAGTATTCTAGGAAAAATAACTAAAGTCACGTCTAGAGCATGGCATGCTCTTGGGGAATGTGGTGGCTGCTGCTGTCATTTGGGGAAGCCATCAGAGTCCTGCTTCCTGAAGGAGGTGGTCCTGGTGCTGACGAGGTTAGCAGCAGGTCATTCCCCACTGCTGGCCACACTTCCTACCGTGGTCACACTCACTCTGCCCCTTGCCCCTCTCCTCTCCTCGTTTCCCCTCTTTATTGTTATTCCCAGTGTTGTTGAAAACACCCGGTTTAGGAAAACAGCCGGGTTGGATATGAAGCACCCAGCTTCTGGAGGCAGGCAGACAGAACTGGGTCTGAATCCTGACTGAGCCCCTGGCTTGCTGTGTGTTCTTGCAGAAATTACTGCATCTCTCTGAGCCTTGAGCTAATTACCTGTAAAATGAGGATGATAATCCCCATTTCACAGAGCTATTATGAGAAATAATTAGCCACTCAACAAAGTTCTGTCTTCCCTCCCTCCCTTCGTGAAGTTGCCCCTTCCGGCCTGACCAGGGTGTCTCGCTCCTTCCAACAGTCCCTGGAATGGTTTTCCCTGACTCAGTTGTTAGTGGCCTCAGGCACTGTGGCCTCTCTTTCCCTCAGACCATGGACTCCCAGGGCTTCTGGAAGCAGGTGGAGTCCCTTGTGGCTGGTGCCACTTCTCTGGTCTTCTCTGCAGGTCCAGCCCCACCTTGGGAGCTGCTGCTTCAAACCGTGTGATCTGTATATTTCCTCACTTTAGCAATTATCACACTCCAGCTGACTGTGGCATCTTCACACTCTGAACACTAATAAATATTTATGAGAAGGAAGCTGGATGTGGTGACTCACGCCTGTAATCCCAGCATTTTGGGAGGCTGGAAGTGGGCGGATCACTTGAGGTCAGGAGTTTGAGACCAGCCTGACCAACATGATGAAACCCCGTCTGTATTAAAAACACAAAAATTAGCCTGGCCTGGTGGTGCACGCCTGTAATCCTAGCTACAAGGGAGGCTGAGGCACGAGAATCACTTGAACCAGGGGGATGGAGGTTGCAGTGAGCTGAGATCACACCACTGCACTCTAGCCTGGGCAACAGAGCGAGACTCCATCTCAAAAAAAAAAGAAATGAATAAATAAATAAATACATATTTATGAGGAGGAGAAAAGCCCAGTCTCCCAGGGGAGGTGGGGCGGGATGTGCCAGGCTTCTTAGCAAGCCATGCTCACACCCATCAGTGGTTCCTGCCAGCCCAGAAGTGAGAGGTGGGGGTGGGCAGGGCCAGGGCTATGAAGGCAGCGCAGAGCCACCACCCACTCGCCATCTCTTCCGGAAGGAGGCAGGAGTGGCTGTGCCTTGGCGGGCCTCACTGTCCTGCCCACCCTGGTGCCTGCTGGGCCCTGTGCTCCTGGGGGAGGACTGGGTGGCAGGAAGCCCTCTCAGCCTCATGTGTGCCTACCCTACCCCTCTCCATGGCTGTTTTAGCCTCTCTTATTTCATCTTTTATTTTCACCCGTCCAGGGTCTGTGTCCCTATCCTCCTCTCTCTTCCCCAACCCCCTGTCTTATCTCGGGGTCTCTGGCTCTGTCTTTCAATTTTCTTCTCTCCCTCCCAACAATTACTTTGAGAGATCCTGGAGCTAGCTGTTGGTGGCTAGGGAAGGGGGTCTCAGGCTCCAAGACCCAGCTTGTGGGAGAGGGCAGGAGGAGATATGGAAGGCAAGTGAGTTCCACTTTTTGGGAGTCATGGACTACATCTCGACCTGATTCCTTGTCCAGCACTGCTGGGTGACCATGGCTTATTCTCTGCCTTTCCTGGGCTTCAGTTTCTGTTAAGTAAGGTGGTTGATTCCTTCACTCATTCATTCCTTCACCTGTTCAACTGTTTATTGAGTGTTTGCTACCTGCCATTCATCATTTTTTGTTTGTTTGTTTTTGTTTTGAGACTGAATCTTATTCTGTTGCCCAGGCTGGAGTGCAGTGGCACGATCTTGGCTCACTGCAACCTCCGTCTTCTGGGTTCAAGCAATTCTCCTACCTCAGCCTCCCAAGTAGCTGGGATTACAGGTGCCCGCCACCACGTCAGCTTATTTTTGCATTTTTAATAGAGACGGGGTTTCACCACGTTAGTCAGGCTGGTCTTGAACTCCTGACTTCCTCAGCCTCCCAAAATGCTGGGATTACAGGCATGAGCCACTGTAGACCCATCATTTATTAAACAATGATTGCAGTGCCATTCTGGGTGCTTGGGATAGATGCATCTGTGGATAAGAGAAACAAAGATCCTTGCCCTCGTGGAGTGACATGTTAGCAGAGCAGACACATAATAAACAAGTAAAATATGTATATGTTCGAAAGTGTTAAGTGTTGGCTGGGCGCGGTGGCTCACACCTGTAATCTCAGCACTTTGGGAAGTCAAGGTGGGCAGATTGCTTGAGTCCGGGAGTTCAAGACCAGCCTAAGCAATATGGTGAAATCCCATCTCTACCAAAAAACAAAACAAAACAAGAAAACAAAAAATAAAAATTAGCCCGGGGTGGTGGCATGTGCCTGTGGTCCCAGTGACTTGAGAGGCTGAGCAGGGAAGATCATTTGAGCCTGGAAGGCAGAGGTTGAAGCAGTGAGCAGAAATCACACCACTGCACTCCAGCCTGGGTGACAGAGTGAAACCCTGTCTCAAAACAGAAAGTGATGAGTGCTATGGAAAAAGAAGAAGTGGAGCAAGAGAGGGACTTCAGGCCCGGGGACACAGTGGGGTTGAGCATGCAGATGTTTCAGGGAGAGCCTCTGAACTGTCCCTGAGGTGGGAATCGCCCTGGTGTGCTCGAGGACCAGCCAGGGGCAGATGTGGCTGGAGATGGGTGAGGGAGAGTAGTAGGAGGTGACACCAGGAGGTGAGAGTAGATCACACAGACCTTACAACATGCCAGGCTTTTCCTCGCTTGAGCTTAGAAAATTTGCACTTGGAGACTTCCGCAGCCTGCCCTGCAAAGACCTGACTGCAAGGGGGCTGTTGCGTAGCCCAGGAGAGTTCTAATGGCTATCGTGGAGGCTTACCAGTGGAGATGGTAAGAGCAGATTACATGGGCACTGTTCGGATCTCAAGCTTGCATGGTGCCTGTCAGTCACTCCAGCCCTGGTCCCCGGTCCTGCCTCAAGGTGGCCCACAGGAGCTTGCTCCTGGGCAGGATTTGTGAACCCTGGCCTGACTTCTCTTTCTCTCCACAGAGTGTTCAAGAAGGCCAGTCCGAATGGAAAGGTGAGTCTGTAACAGCTGCGCCCAGCAACTCCCTGACCTCACACTCTGGTCATTTTCTGTTGGGAAGCAGAGGAAATGGCATGTCCCCTGAAGTGCACACCTCTGTGGGAGGGGGCAGGTGCTGCTCCCCGTCTTCGGGGTGACACAGCTCTGTCTTTTGGAGCTGTCAGTTGAAGGGGGAAGGACACACTCAGGAAACTTTCTGAGTGGGGAAGCATAGCTCCCCGAGCTCTGGTGTGGAGAGAGATGGCCTGTCATAGAGAGACTTCAGTAAGTGTGTGACAGTGGAGGACAAGCCAATCAGTAAGCGCCGAGGGCCCTGGGGGAGTGAGTCCCCTGCTGTGAGAGGAACCTTAGCCAGGGCAGCTCCCAGGGCCTGGCTCTCTTGCTTTCTCCCTGCAGGCCCAGACGCCATCCTGCTTCCCCCCCAGTTCAGCAGGTAGACATTATTGACACCATTCCACACCAGGTCTGGGCTGAGCCGGCGGGGACAGGGGCAGGGTGTACTGAGATGAATGAGGCACAGCCTGTGCCTCTCACAGCCAGATGGCAGAGGCAGACACCGAAATCCATCATTTCAGCATGAAGTGGCAGGTGGGAGATATGGGGCCATCGGGGCTGCAGGACCCAGCCTGGTGGGCAGTGGCAGCTTCTAGGAGGGATGCACTTCCAGCAAGGCAAGGTGAAAACGGCGTTGTAGGCAGGACACAAAAGCATAGGGACTGTGGGAATCTTAAGCAGCTGAGTTCAGAGTGCCAAGAGGGAGGCTGAGGCTGAGAGGCTGCAGGGCTGGTCACGGGAACCCTGTGGCTTGACTTACGAGCTGGCCTGGGTTGGCAAATAGCACCACATGTGCTTCCACATCTCTCTTCTGTGCCCACAGCAGATAACATCAGTCGCCATTGCCCTTTCCTGCTGCACCAGGGTCTCATCTTAGATTTCTTCTTAGCCCATAGTCCCAGACAGTTCCCTACCCCCTCTCCCCGCTGGTAGATTTGAGTTGGCACTTCGAATGAAACCCATTTGCCATCCTTATTTTTGGACACTGAGGAACCATTAATGGGTTTCAGGCGGCAGTAGCATGGTTAGATTTGAATTTTAGGGCCGGGCGTGGTGGCTCACACCTATAATCCCAGCACTTTGAGAGGCCAAGGTGGGTGGATCACTTGAGGTCAGGAGTTTGAAACCCTGTCTCTACTAAAAATACAAAAATTAGCCAGGCGTGGTGGTGCATGCCTGTAGTTCCACCTATTTGGGAGACTGAGGTGTGAGGATCACTTGAACCCAGGAGGCAGAGGTTGCGGTGAGCTGAGATTGCACCACTGCACTCCAGCCTGGGCGACAGAGCGAGACTCCATCTCAAAAAAAAAAAAAAAAAAGATTTGCATTTTAGGATGTCTAGTCTAGCTAAAGAGGAGAGCAGGCTCTCAGCAAGTGAGCAGCAAGGGGCTGGTGTGGTAGTCTAGGCAGGAGTGGCTGTGGGGATGGAAAGGGATGGACCTGAGAAATAATGATGGCGATTGAGTCACGAGGATTGAAGGGTTGTTGAGCAACAGACACATCAGGGTGACACTCTGGATCTGGTTTAGCTGCTGGAATTCTGTCTCGGAGTTTTTCCCTCCTGGCTGGCTACTGAGTGGGGCATGAGTCCCCGACCCCTCAGTGCTTCAGAAGGCAAGCCGTCACACACAGAACTGCTAACTGTGTGAGGCGGTGCATTTGTTCATTAGCTAGAGGTCACCTTTCCACAACGTATATCTATTTTAAAACATTGTGTTGTGCATGATAAATAACATATACTTTTAAGTCAATTTAAAAAATTAATTAGGCTGGGCGCGGTGGCTCACGCCTGTAATCCTAGCACCTTGGGAGGCCGAGGCAGGCTGATCACCTGAGGTTAGGAGTTTGAGACCAGCCTGACGAACATAGTGAAACCCCGTCTCTACTAAAAATGCAAAAATTAGCCGCACATGGTGGTGCACGCCTATAATCCCAGCTACTCAGGAGGCTGAGGCAGGAGAATCACCTGAACCCGGGAGGCTGAGGTTGCAGTGATCTGAGATCGCGCCATTGCACTCTAGGCCGGACAACAAGAGCAAAATTCCATCTCGATAAAAAAAAAATTAATTAAGAGAGAGAAAACGAGTCCTCGTATCAGTGGATCCCTGCCTGGCTACATGGGAGGAGGAGCAACTGAAGAACACAGTGCGGCCCGCGTTCAGAGCCTCTGAGGGCTCCGTGCTCCTGCCTGCCTGGGGGCTCTCACCCTCTGAGATGCCCGCACTCCCATTCACCTGGCTTCTCTGCCGCTGCTGCTCCACCGGCAGTGGTGCTTGGCATGAAGATCTCTCCGGGCCTCAGTGTCCTCATCTGTAAAACAGGAACAATAATGACTTCTTCACAGGGTTTTGGGAGGAAGAGGTGCTTTTAAGATTTTACAAGGGTTTGCGAATCTTGGTATTAGGGATGGGGTGAAGGCCCAAGTCCAGTTAGGATTTTGATAAGAGTTAGGGATGGGTCTGGAGTTTCAGAGGCTGCTCTCAGGGTTTCCTCCAGGGCAGGGTCCTGTGTCCTCCGGGCCTGCGGCTGCTAACGCCCCCATGCCTCTCCTCCCCAGCTCACCGTCTACCTGGGAAAGCGGGACTTTGTGGACCACATCGATCTCGTGGACCCTGTGGGTGAGTCCCTGGAGGGCGAGAGGAGGGCTGGGGGAACATGGGGCTGGCCAAGCCTCCCAGAAATAGCTCTCAGCTCTCCAGAGGGGCTTGGTGCCAAGAACGGGGGTGGATGGCTTCCTGCTTCAGACAGCAAGCATTTACTGAGCAGCTACTTTCCCACTCAAGTGAGGACTGCAAGAAGAGACTGTGGGAAGGACTGAGGTGATAATCAGGGAAGGCGTCCTGATGACGGTAAGAAGGGTGAGGGTGATGACGACAGACACCACCACTTACTATAAGGCGTGTCATGTAGCAGACAGTGGGGGTGGCTATGATGACTATCCCTGCTTTACAGACAAGGAGAATGAAGCACAGAGTGGCTCAGTGACTTACTCCAGGTCACAGAGCGAGTAGATAGAGGAATCCGGTTCAAACCTGGCAGAGTCTGCAAAACTCTTTGTTCTGCTTCCGTGTGATGGCAAAGGGTGGGAGAGAGAGGGAGAGTCCTTCTTAGAACTTGTGAAATGGGAGCTGTCCTCACGTACATGGCGGTCCTGCTAGAAGCTGGGCTGTGGCCGAAGGCATCTTCCAGGTTCTTATTCAAATTCAGGGTTTTGCAATCTCTGCACGCTTGACATTTTGGACTGGATAATTCTTTGTTGGTGTGGCCTGTCCTGTGTGTTATAGGCTGGATAGCCACATCCCTGGCCTCTACTCATTCAATGCCCAGAGTACCTCATGCTCCAGTTAGGACAACTAAAAATGTCTTTAGGCCGAGTGCGGTGGCTCATGCCTGTAATCCCAGCATTTTGGGAGGCTGAGGCAGGAGGATCACTTGATGTCAGGAGTTCGAGACCAGACCATCCTGGCTAACATGGTGAAACCCTGTCTCTACTAAAAATACAAAAATTAGCTGGGCGTGACGGTGGGCACCTGTAATTCTCCCACCCCAGCTACTCGGGAGGCTGGGATGGGAGAATCGCTTGAACCCGGGAGATGAAGGTTGTAGTGAGCTGAGATTGTGCCACTGCACTCCAGCCTGGGAGACAGAGTGAGACTCCATTTCGCGGGGCGGGGGGAGGGAGTCTTTATTCGTTGCCAAAGTGTCTCATCTGGGGGCAGAATCACCCTGATTAAGAATGACTGCTCTCATTGGAAGAGCCTTGGTCTCATGGTCTCTTCTCATGCCTGTTTGTGAGAGGGAAGCCTAGAATTACTCCTATTTTATAAATGGGCACAGTGAGGTCCAAAGAGGTTCAATGATTTTTGAAAGATGAGCAAGCCAACTGGGCATGGTGGCTCACGCCTATAATCCCAGCACTTTGGAAGGCAGATCACCCGAGGTCAGGAGTTTGAGACCAGCCTGGCCCATGGGGTGAAATCCCATCTCTACTAAAAAATAAAAAAAAAAAAAAAAAAAAAAAGCAGAGCATGGTGGTGCACAACTGTAGTCCCTGCTACTGGGGTGGCTGAGGCGTGAGAATCCTTTGAACCCGGGAGGCAGAGTTGCAGTGAGCCGAGATCATGCCACCGCACTCCAGCCTGGGTGACAGAGCAAGACTCTGTCTTAAAAAAAAAGACGAGCAAATCAAAGTGAGGCCTAGTGTGGCCTCTCCCATCAGTGTCCCTGCAGGCTGTCCTGGGGCCAGGGCAGGAGTGATTTGTGTGGTCCCTGAGCCAAGGGAGCGAGCCCAGCTGCGGACTTCAGCTCACCAGGAGGAAGACCTGGGGACACTGGGCTCCAGGGGTCAGGGGACAGTCAGCAGAGCCCTTCATGGCCTGGAGCAAACACCCCCACTTCTCCCCTCCAACCCTGCCTAGGATGCTGTTTGGTGTCTTCTGAAGCTCAGTGTCCCTCTGCCATTGGCATCTTCTCCCTGAGCTGGCCCCTCAGAGGCTGGGAGCAGGCATCCCGGTGCTCACCTGTGGCTGCTTCATGTTGTCATTTCTGGTGGCCCTCTGAGGCCAGGGTTATCCGTACCCATTGGCCTACTAAGGACAGCAGCAGAGGCAGCCCAGAGACTGGGAGAGGAGAGGGGTAGGAATCTAGCCCCCAACACACGCAGGCACCCTGAGAGCTGTTCAGCAGGTGTTCACAGAGCACCCCCTCTGTATCAGGCCCCTTGTGAGCCCTGGGATCCCCGAACACTCTGGGGCACTGTTCGGAGCTGCTCAGGGACTTACTGTGACCCTTCTCCCATAGTGACCCTGCCATTTGGCTTGATCTGATCATACCCTCCCTATGCTTACCGGTTCCCCACCAAACCTGCACACAAGTCCGAGCCCACTGGCCTCACCAACGGGAGGGACATTGATGATCCATCCTGGCCCTGCTCTTCCACTGGCAATGGAATGACAGTGGGTTAGAGGGTAGGGGGAGAGAGAGGAAAGAAAGGTTTGGCCAGAGATAGACAGGGGATGTCAGCCAAGGGGGTGACCCTGAACCAGTGTTTCTGGCCTCCTGAGGTGCTGAGCAGAGATGTCCTTTGTGTTCAGCTGGACTCTGCTCCCGAGGGCCAGGGCACTGAGGCACCTTCCACAACCTGCAGAGTGCTCTCGAGTGCTCGGCACTGTCTAAGTGCTGTATGCATGTGCACATTCATGCGTATACCCATTCAGTCCTCACGGGAGACCCATGAGGGAGGCACTGCAGATCACAACCCCTGATTCACATGTGGCAAGCCCAAGAAGCTCTGAAAACCTAGCATTGCTTCCAAGTTTAATGCAGAATTCATTCATTGGCAAACCTGACCCCAACTGATGTGAGGCTATATTTAGCCTCTTGGTGAGAATATTTGTGTTTTCCTACGGAGGTATCAATGGCTTTAGTAATAGGGTGCAGATCTTGCAGAGGTCATTACAGAATACATGGAACGTGTACCATTTTGCCTATTTTATTTTATTTTGAGACAGAGTCTCGCTGTGTTGCCCAGGCTGGAGTGCAGTGGCATGAGCTCAGCTCACTGCAGCCTCTGCCTCCAAGGTTCAAGTGATTCTCTTGCTTCAGTCTCCCAAGTAGCTGGGACTACAGGTGTCCACCACCATGCCCGGCTAATTTTTGTATTTATAGTAGAGATGAGGTTTCACCATATTGGCCAGGCTGGTCTTGAACTCTTGGCCTCAAGTGATCCACCCGCCTCAGCCTCCCAAAGTGTTGGGATTATAGGCATAAGCCCCCATGCCCGGCCCATTTTGCCTCTTTATGCTTCACAATTTCTAAATTCCAAAGTATACCTGGTTCTAGGAGTTTTGGACCTGTGTTACTATTCTTACTAACAGATGAAGAAACAGAAATGTTAACTAACCTGCTTAGTCACCAGCTGGGTCTGTTAGGCTGGCCTGGGATGAGGGAAAGGTAGAGCATGGTGGAGGTGGGCAGTGCCACCCTCTAGGTGCCAGCCTTTCCATTTTTCTCAGGATGATTTTAGATGAACATATGGTTGAATCTGGGCTTGGGCTGGTGTTTGGGGGCGCAGAGGTTTGGGAGGCCAGGTTGGGAGAGGCTGCTCACTCTCTGTCCTTTCCCCAGATGGTGTGGTCCTGGTGGATCCTGAGTATCTCAAAGAGAGGAGAGGTAGGCTGTGGCGCCCATCCCCAGCCTGTCAAGGGCCTCCTCTTCCCCCTGGACCTCTAGCATAGGATCTCCCTGTCCGTCCCCACTGGTTCCCCTGAAAGCCTCAACAAATACCCCCACAGATGCCCTTGCCTCCTCCAGCCTGGGACGGCCCTGCCCCAAGCCTACTTTGGGAGAAGGTTTCCCTATGCCCTGAGCACCTTCACATCAATATGTCATGACTATGGCAAGGCTGGGGATGCCAGCAGGGCAGGATTAGGGTTTTCTTTAACAGAACAGAACGTTGATACGGGGGCAGTATCAATGTGCACCAATGTGCAGGAAGACAATGTGCACCAATGTGCACCAATGGGCGACTGAGCTGTGACAAGATCCATGCCTTCCAGATACCACCCAGCACTTGCCCTGCCCCTACAACTCCCTGCTCCTTCCCCAGTCCTCCTATCCCCACCCCAGGCCTGCCAGACTACTACAGCCCCCGCCAAGCCTGTCAGACCATTTCCGTACCCCTCCACACATGCCCTGGGGAGAGGTGGGAGGGGGAAGAAGGACAGGGCTTGCTCAGCAGGCAGCCCCCTCCTCCTCCCAGGGGCCAGGCCATGGCATCCTTCCAGGTACTGAATACCAGCCCCTCCTGGTGGAGACAGTACAGCCATTCCCAAAGAGCTTGGGACAGGCCTGGGGCCTCCAGCGGGGCCTGTCCCAGGGCTGCTGTTGGCACTCTGGGGGGCTCACCTGCTGCTCTCCCAGGCCCCTCCTCAGTGCTCCCTGCTCCCCACAGTCTATGTGACGCTGACCTGCGCCTTCCGCTATGGCCGGGAGGACCTGGATGTCCTGGGCCTGACCTTTCGCAAGGACTTGTTTGTGGCCAACGTGCAGTCCTTCCCACCAGCCCCCGAGGACAAGAAGCCCCTGACGCGGCTGCAGGAGCGCCTCATCAAGAAGTTGGGCGAGCACGCCTACCCTTTCACCTTTGAGGTCAGGAACTGCCACCCCTGGAGCCCCATTCCAGAAATACCACCTCTAGGAAGCCCTCTGGGGTGGGCATAAGGGGTCGGTGTGGGTCAGCTGCTCCCTGCCACCCAGTTTCCCAGTGTATGCTGGGACCTGAGGCACTGACACCTATGTTACCTGGTGTCTCTTCTCTAGCCCCTGCTGGGGTTTGTCACCTGTACCTTTGGGCCACTCAGACCGAGGCCAGGTCATTGGTGGGAGAAAGGGGGCGCCAAGGGGCTTCAGAGAAAGCAGGAGCCCTTTGTGGCCTGTGAGTCACTGCAAGGTGTCTCCCGCTCAGATCAGCTCCCCACTTGCCTGGTTTAACCCAGCTCGCAAGAGAGGGATGGCAAGTAGGTGATCTGTCTGCTCCACCACCTTTCAAATCAGAGACTAAGATGCTGGATTTCAAAATCTCAAGTTTTAGGCTCTCTGATTCTGAGATTCAGTGTGGTCCCTCCCTTTCTGGGAGACTTAGAGAGTGGAGAGGGTTATGGAGTCACCTTTTCCACATAGACATGTTAGCTCCCTATGGCTGCTGAAACAAATTGCCACAAACTTGGCAGCAATTAAAACAACACAGATGTATGAGCCTACAGCTCTGGAGGTCAGAAGTCCCAAAACAGGTCTCAGTGTGCTACAATGGAGGCATGGCAGGGCTGGCTCCTCTGGAGGCCCTCAGGGAGCGTCCACCTTTTCCAGTTTCGCTCTCCTTGGATCCTGGTGCCTTCCTCCATCGTCAAAGCCAGCAGTGGCTGTTGAGCCTTTTGCACATCCCATCACTCTGGCTCGTACATTTCTGCCTCCTGCTTCCACTTCTAAGGACTCTTATAATGATATCAGGCCCACCAAAATCATCCAGGATACTGTCCCCATCTCAAGGCCTTAATTGGATCTGCAAAGTCACTTTTGTCGTTAAGGTCCCAGGTTTGGGGGATCAGGGTGTGGACATCTTTGGGGGACCATTATTCTGCCAACTACAGTAGACATCATAGAAAGATCTATTTAAACCATTGCTGCGAGAACTGGGCTAGGCCAAACTCTTTAGATAAAGAAAACTCAGACACTTGCGGGGCATGGGTTGGCATGGTCTGATGGAGTAGACATGGCCTGTCCCCTGGGGCCCTTGGTCTGATAGGTGTATGGGCGTGTCTGGGCTGCAAGACATGAGACAGGACAGTGGTGGATGTGATAGATGGCTCGTTCTGTCTTCTTGACAGATCCCTCCAAACCTTCCATGCTCTGTGACACTGCAGCCGGGGCCCGAAGACACAGGGAAGGTAGGTTACCCCAAGGGGACCATCTCTCTGGCTCCAGGACTCTCAGGTCCCCAGGTCCCTGGCTTTCTCCCTGGGAGGTGCTGGACACACAGAACCACTCTCCCTGTTGAACAGTGTTAGGCTAAGCTGGTCCCACCTTGGACAACCAGTCTCTCTTTAGACAGGGCAGCAGGTATGGGGTCAGCCTCACTCTCCCATTCAGTGATGGGTCCAGAGGCCCTCCTGAGTGGCGTTGGTTGCAACAGGACCAAAGTGTTCTGAGGACCTACACCTGGCCTCACGTAACCCCTGGCAACCTTGAATCAAGGTGTGATCATCCCCATGTCACAGATGGGGAAACTGAGGCTTGGAGAGAAGTGACACCACTAGCTGCAGACCTTTGAGCCCAGCTTCCTCATCTGCAAGATGGAGATGACAGCACGTGCCTCCTTGTCTTATTAGAGGGATACCGGAGAAGCCACCCAGGGCCAGGTCTGCACACAGTAGTAGTAGGTGCCCCCAGTCCGCTCAGGTACCTGTTGCTATTTCTGGGCAGCTGCCTGGATGAGGATGGCCACCCAGACTGAGGCAGGAGTCCAAAGAGCAGAGCCCTGTTTGGATGATTTGGGATGTCCCATGTCAGATGGTGGAGGCAGCACAGCACTGGGGCTGAGCACAAGGGCGTTCCCCTGCTTCTTCCAGACCGAGGAGGGCTGGGCTGTGGGAGCTTGGTGTTCCTGTCCAGTGTCCTCGCTTGTAAAATGAGAGGTAGGCTGGCTGTGTACTGGGGACCCTGCTTCTCCAAGGCCCTGTGGTCAGTGACCCCTTCCCCACAGGCTTGCGGTGTGGACTATGAAGTCAAAGCCTTCTGTGCGGAGAATTTGGAGGAGAAGATTCACAAGCGGTGAGTAGGATGCCAGGGTGTGGGCTGCCTGCTGGGTGAGGGAGGGAGACAGGATGGGCAAAGTCCAAGAGGAGATAAGTAACAATACCTGGAAGTGTGTGAGGAGGGGCGCACATTCCAGCCTTGGAAGGGCACTCTGGAAGCTGGGAGGTCCCGGAGGGCTTCCTGGGGGAGGTGGCTTTGACTGCCCAGGTTCAGGCTGCCGCATCTTCTCCTTCGCACCGTTGTGGAAGCTTCCTCCCTCATCTCCCTGCCTCTCATTTCATCCCCTCCAGACTGCATGTCTTTTTAATTTGTTTTGGAAAAATCCTAAATTCAGATTGTGTTAAACCGTAAGCAGGCTGTTTCCTGACCATCCCCATTTTCCAGTTTTCCTCCTGGGAGGAGTTCAGCAGGGGTTGAGTGTGTGTCAATGGCAGCTTCTAAGTGAGGAGGAAGTGGAGATAGTGAACCCATCCAGGGCAGAGTGACAGGGAGCTCGGCCCACATCCGAGAGAGGGGAAGCATCCTCCGGAGAAGCACAGCCCGGGCAGACAGACAGCCCAGGCTGGCAGCCAGAAACAGCTGGCCCGGATGTCTCAGGCCTGCCCCTCCTGGGTCAGGCTGTGCTCTGCCTGCCTCCTGGAAGAGCTGGTGGGCCCTCAACGCTGATGTTCCTGCATCCAGAGGTACTGTTCCCAGAGGAGGTTGGCTGAGGGCACAGCAGCCTTTTTAGGGCATGGGCTGAGTTTGCCACCTGGTGGCTATAGGGTGTATTGCATACATTTGCATCTGCAGCCCTGCCTGTGTGTGAGGAGATGGGACTTTTCTGCCTTGCTTCTCTGTCTCCCTTTTCCTCTTAAGACCTGAGACAAGGGAAAAGGAAGGGTGCTGTGGGATGTGGGAGGAGGCTTAGCAAGCACAAGAAAGAGGAGGTGACATTGAGAGCCACCCCTCTCACCCTACCACCAATGGGACATTTAAAATCCACACCAAGGAGTTACTAATAATGATATAGAAGCTATCATTTATCAAGGGCTGATTAGGTGCCAGGCACCATTCACAGTGCTGGGCTGTACGAACTAATTTAATCCTCATAGCAGCTCTAAGAATTAGGTCCTGGCTAGGCGCGGTGGCTCACGCCTGTAATCCCAGAGCTTTGGGAGGCCGAGGCGGGCAGATCACTTGAGGCCAGGAGTTCCAGACCAGCCTGGCCAACATAGTGAAACCCCATCTCTACTGAAAATACAAAAATTAGGCAGGTGTGGTGGCATATGCCTGTAATCCCAGTTGCTCGGAAGACTGAGGCAGGAGAATTGCTTGAACCTGGGAGGCAGAGGTTGTAGTGAGCTGAGATCGTGCCACTGCACTCCAGCCCGGGCAACAGAGTGAGACTCCACCTCAAAATAAATAAATAAATAAAAATTTAAAAAGCAAAAAAAGAGATAGGTCCTTCTATCATCACCCTTTACAGATGAGGGAATGGAGGCAGAGAGGTTAATGTACCCAAGGCCACATAGTTAGCAAGAGGAGAGCTGGGAGTTTGACCCTGGCTCCCCCGTTCCAGGCAATGGAAGCAGCTTATCTGAGCAACAGAGATGCAGCATTCCCAGCATGCCTCAGAGACGGCCTCACTGAGTCCCCCTCCCTCACCAGATCCTCATTTGCTCCCTGATCCCCTGTAACCTTCGTGGAGCCAGTCTCATCCATGGGCCTTCTCCCCTCCCTGGGCTTGTCCCCATCACTGGCTTGCATCCCCCTGACTGAATCCACACCTCCTCCCTGAACCCCAACGCCTCCCCAAACCCCATTTCTTCTTGGGACCTCTGTCCCCTCTGCGTAGTTTTACATAATAGATATCTGGCATGTGTTTATTATATGGCACGCACAGTCATAGGTGCTGAGAGTACAGTTGTGAACACCTTAGACACAAATTTCTGTCCTTAAAGAGCTTACACAAATAGTGTCCTGTGTCACCAAAATAGATGACAGAGGGACACTATTTGTGTAAGGTGACATAGGGAAGTGGGAAGTGACATTGTTACCTATTTGGTGATGTAGGGAAGCAGGAGGTGAAAATGTAGTCCCTGTTTCAGCATCCTGCTGGGTACCAGGACCCAAATGAAGTGCGGCCACAGGGCACTTCTGGGATAGAACAGGGGAGGATGGAATGGAGCCAGATAGTGACAGACCCCTATGCTGATCTCTGCAGTTTGGCTGGATTCTAAGGCGTTGAAGAGCCATGCCAGTCTCTTGAGCAGGAGAATGATGTGAGGCTTGCAAGGAGAGGGGATGAAGGCAGGTGACCCTGGTCCTCTTTCACTCCGTCCATCCCCATTAGGAATTCTGTGCGTCTGGTCATCCGGAAGGTTCAATATGCCCCAGAGAGGCCTGGCCCCCAGCCCACAGCTGAGACCACCAGGCAGTTCCTCATGTCGGACAAGCCCTTGCACCTAGAGGCCTCCCTGGATAAGGAGGTAGGAGGCTTGAACTGGGCAGGGGGTGGGGGCTGCTCCACTAGGGCCTGGGCCTCAGATCCCAGCTCTCTACTGGCCTGCAGGGAAGCCTCAGATAGGAGCTTCTACCCCCAGCCCAAGGACCACAGGGCTCAGGGAATCTGAGACCTCTCCTGGGGGATTTGGAGAAGTCTCTTGGGCCTAAAGGAATGGCAGAGGGGGCGTGAACTTGAGGGATGTGATGGACTTCAGAAGGGAGGAGCAGACCCTCCCGAAGGTCCTGGACATCTCCCCCACACCTCCACCAGCTGCCTGCTTCAGGCCAAGTGCTGAAGGTCAATCAGCATTGCAGAGGGGGTACGGTGGGGGGCTGTGACCTCCCTGCCAAACCCTGAGCATCGGGGCGACAAGCCCTGCTGAAGGAAGGGCCTCCCCTCAAGCTCTGAATCAAACCCAGATGACTGATGCCTGCTGTGAGCTCGGGCTAGCCCCTCCTCAACGTGTGGGCAGCCCCCCTCTCTCGGGGCATGGCTGAAGGGAAGTGCCTTGGGGCAAGATGCAGGTTGAGGCCTTTTTGTGGGGATTCAGAGCTGGCTCCCTCAGTGAGCTGGTCAGCCCCTCCTCACCTTTCCCTGCTTCTTCCAGATCCTTCCATGGACAGAATTTAGAGCTGGCAGGGACTTCAGATATCACCTAGTCCAACCCCTTCATTGCACAGAGGGAGACTCTGAGGCTTAACCTACCCACGGTCACACTGCTTTCATCATCGTCAGTGTTATTGTTGTTATTGTTGTCACGATTACTGGTGGCCAAGCCAGGGCTGGAGCCCAGGACTATCACCTTCCAATTCCATTATCTTTCAAGGGTTCCACCAGGGAACTGAAGGCTAATGTGCTTGGTGGCTTTCGTGCCACCTTAGCAGCAGTGGGAAGTGGCTGATGAACTTGGGGCAAATGTCACAATGCCTTGGGGGATTCAGAGAAATCTCTTGGGCCTAAAGGAGTGGCAGAGGGGGCATGAACCTGAGGGATGTGATGGACTTCAGAAGGGAGCAGCAGACCCTTCTGAAGGTCTGCCCAAGGTCTGGGGAACCCCAGAAGATCGCGTGGGGGCTTTTTTCCCTCCCCTTTCCCTAGAACCTTGCTGTCCTCCCAGCCAACCCCATCCCTTCTTATGCCCCCCAGATCTATTACCATGGAGAACCCATCAGTGTCAACGTCCACGTCACCAACAACACCAACAAGACGGTGAAGAAGATCAAGATCTCAGGTACCCTAGGCAGAGGGTCAGCTTAGGGGACAGCAAGAGGCAGTCTTCCCAAGGGCTGGGAGTGGCCGAAGGATCTCCCCTTGTTAACAGCCTTGTATAAAAAATAGCCACTGAAGCCTGGGGCCTGCTCTGAGCCACAGGGCAAAGCTTTTGAGTCGGGTAAGGCAGGCTGCTTATTGGCCAGGTAATGAGCTTGCTCTTTAAGCCACCTCTTCAGTTTCTTGGGTTCTGGGCACAGCTGTCCTTGAGGGGAAGGCTTTGGTTATGGAAGGAAAGGGATGTGTTTGGGGCTACCCTTTGGATGGAAGACAGGGGTGGTCTCATGCAGAAGTCCCCACTGGTGGCCTCTGGCCATTGCCTGGGGCTGAATATCCCCAACCTGGGACGCCTGTGAGACTCCATGGGAGCTGCATTCCTGACTCACTCCACCTCGATTCCTCTCCCTCCTTAGTGCGCCAGTATGCAGACATCTGCCTTTTCAACACAGCTCAGTACAAGTGCCCTGTTGCCATGGAAGAGGCTGAGTAAGTGGGCACAAGTCTGGCCTTGGGCGTGTGGGATTCGGTGGGAAAAAGAGAAGCTCTAGGTGTCCCGTTACAGGTCCAGGTGGCTCTTCTCCACCTGGCAGAGGGCTGGGCCTCAGACTTCTTTGCCATTCAGAGTAGATGATCCCGCAGAGCCTTTTAGAAACCATCCACCTGATTTATCTACAAGAAAATGCATGCTACAGTCAAGGAAGAGACCCACTAAAACTAGAACGACAAAACAAGAGCTAATGAATGTAAGGGGATTGGGGTTGTGGAGAGAAGATAATTACGTTGTACAAGAAACCTAGGTTGAAGGGAAATACTTTGTTCTTGAACTTTCTGGTAGCCAGGGCAAAGTGGGTAAGGCACTAGGTACACAGCTCTTGTTTGATAAAGGGGTAATCCAGCTCATTGGGTGAAAGAGGTTGTGTGGGGGAGTGTAGAGCATAATTACACACACACAATCCAGGTTTGAGGAGAACTACTATGGTTGAGCATGGATTGAACTTTGTCCCAAGCTTGTTGGCAGCTGAGGCAAGAGGAGAGATCTCAAGTGAAACATCTTTACTTGCCTAAAGGAAGTAAATGCTCCCATTCAAAGACACACACATTTTTTTTTTCCCCCTGGCCCTGCAAGTAATTTCTTGGGGCAATTACACCCGATATAATTTTACATGTATATGTGTATTTGTTTATATATAATTCCAATCAGTATTTCTTGCAACTTAAAACATTTTAAAATGTTACTACATGGCCTTTGAAATAGTTTTTAATGTCCTATAGGTGAACATGCTATGATTAGATCAAGCATTCTCTGGTTATTGGATATTTTTCATATCCACTGTTGATTTTTTCAAAAAAATCAGAGCTATGAGGCATAGATTCCTGATGGTAAAGTGAAATGATCTAGAACCAGAGTAACGTATAATCCCTAAAGAGTAGAAAATCGCAACCACTGCAGATGGTGCCAGCGTCTGCATAACGAATACCAGCAGGGATGGCTGGGGAGGCATTTGCATTCACAGACTTGTTTACTTCTCAGGAAGCACTGTGGGGCTGGGGTTGCTGCTGCCCCAGTGTGTGGAGGAGGAAGTGGCTCAGAGAGATGTGACTTGCAAGCTAGCAAGCAGCAAAGCTGGGGTTGGAACACAGGTCGTCCGACTCCAAGGCTTGTTCACTATCTGCTGCATGACAGCTCTCTCATTGGAAAGGGTGGGGGATAGAGCAAAAGCAAGTAAAAATTGGACAGTCAAAACGCCCCATGTATGATGAATGTGATCAAGCAAGTAACGTTTTAATTGTTGAGCCTATATGATGGGTATATGGCTGCCCAAATTGCTTCATTTATGGTTTGTGTGTAGCTATAATTTTTTCTTTTTAAAATTTGTTTAGAGACAGGGCTGGTGCTTATGCCTATAATCCCAGCGCTTTGGGAAGCTGAAGAAGGCGGATCACTTGAGGTCAGGAGTTTGAGACCATCCTGGCCAACATGGCGAAACCCCATCTCTACTAAAAATACAAAAATTAGTTGGGCATGGTGGTGTGCGCCCGTAATCCCAACTACTTGAGAGGCTGAAGTAGGAGAATTGCTTGAACCTGGGAGGTGGAGGTTCCAGTGAGCCAGGATCACACCACTGTACTGTAGCGTGGGCGACAGAGCGAGACTCTGTCTCAAAAAATAAAATAAAAATAAAATAAAATAAAATAAAAAAATTCAATAAAATGTTTAGAGACAGAGTTTCACTCTGTTGCTCAGGCTGGAGTGCAGTGGTATGATCATGGCTCACTACAGCTAGCCTCGAACTCCTGGGCTCAAGTGATCGTCCTGCCTCAGCCTCCCAAGTAGCTAGGACTACAGGTGTGTGCCACCATATCGGGCTAATATTTAAAATTTTTTGTAGAGATGGGGTCTTGCTATGTTGCCCAGGCTGGTCTCAAACTCCTGGCCTCAAGCAATCCTCCTGTCAGCCTCTCAAGTTGCTGGGATTACAGGCATAAGCAACTGTGCCGGCTGTGGCTGTAATTTTTTATTATTATTATTTTTGATATGGAGTCTTGGCTCACTGCAAGCTTCGCCTCCCAGGTTCATGCCATTCTCCTGCCTCAGTCTCCCAAGTAGCTGGGACTACAGACGCCCGCCACCACACCCGGCTAATTTTTTGTATTTTTAGTAGAGATGGGATTTCGTCATGTTGGCCATGCTGGTCTCAAACTCCTGACCTTAGGTGATCCACCCGCCTCAGCCTCCCAAAGTCCTGGGATTACAGGCGTGAGCCACCCTGCCCGGCCAGCTGTAATTTTTTAAATGAATATGCTTTTCAGCACTGTGCTGCTTGACTTGGACAATCTTTTAGAATATCCCAGATTCAGTCCTGTTTGTGCGTAGAATGTAGATAGATGTGCCTCTTTTGAGTGGCAGTGGTTCTCCTTGCCTGAGCTGGGCTGGCCCAAGTGGTCCATGCATCTGGGGAACAGAGGTTGGGAGAGGGAGACTTGGAGCAGGCCCAGACTAGATATTCTGCTGGGCTGGAGATCAGGGGTGGGGTTGGCTCTGGGGAGGGCCATCTCCACAGCTGCTTCCCTTCTTCCCAGTGACACTGTGGCACCCAGCTCGACGTTCTGCAAGGTCTACACACTGACCCCCTTCCTAGCCAATAACCGAGAGAAGCGAGGCCTCGCCTTGGACGGGAAGCTCAAGCATGAAGACACGAACTTGGCCTCTAGCACCCTGTGAGGACCTGCCCTCCTAGTCCTGGGCTCCTAGTGCACCTTGCCTGATGGGGCCACACCCTCCTTGGTCCCCCCAGTTCAAAGACAAAGCTCAGGCTACCCTCTCCACAGCCTTGTCAGGGCCTGTCCTCAGGTGCTTGACTTGTCAGGGAAGCTGCCTCCTTGCTCCCATTCCTACCCAGGGGTGACTGAGAATAAGATGGACCACTAGGCCAGCTCGCTCAGGCAGTGCTGGGCTCTGCTACCATGCCTGGGGGAGGGCAACCTGGGAAGGCTTCCTGCAAGAGGTGGCAGCTTCTGATGTAATGCCTTCAGTCAGATGGAGTGTCCCTGAGGAGAGACCAGAGTGGTGAGCTGGGTTAGACCCAACATGGGGTGCCCCTCCAAGTCAGGAGTCCCAGGGCATCTGGTCACTCCTGCTGCACGGTCATCATGGATGCCTCTAGGCTACTCTGCTCCAGCAGAGCCCTGGCTATGGGGATGCCATCTTGCCCTCTTGCGAGTGTGGTCCTTCAGCGGGGCTTTGGCCTGCGTCTAGAGCAGCCGCCACTCCAGCACAGACTCTCTCAGCTCTCCTCAGTAGCCCCTGCACAGCCTCCCACTTACCTGAAGCTTTTTGCCCTGTCTCCACACTGGCTCACACCCTATCCACCTTCAAGACCCAGCTGAGGCACCACTTCTGTGGAGAAGTCCTTCTCTGACGGCCCCCACCCCACCCAAGCTGCCTGGCCCTCTGTGAACTCTGTGTGTGGCCCTTTCTGCCCATGGGTTGCTGAGAGAAGCAGAATCCATCTGAGGGGAGGAGGAGCCCGGCCATCACTGCGGGCATGCTGACCTGGGCAGGGAGAGGGGCTCAACAGGGCTACACAGCGAGCGAGTCTCACAGCCAGACTTGGAACCGGGGCTCTGGGTCCCTGCTACCTAAGGGCACTGCTCACCTTCCTCACCTCCACTGCACTTTACTGGACATGGTAGCTGAGTGGCCAGCCAAATGGGGGATGGATGGCCACTGCCCCCCAGCACACCCACCCCTGAGGTGTCTCGCCCACCTGGCAAGGCCCCTGAACCGGCTCCCCTGTGTCACTTTGCAGGTTGAGGGAAGGCGCCAACCGTGAGATCCTGGGGATCATTGTTTCCTACAAAGTGAAAGTAAAGCTGGTGGTGTCTCGGGGCGGGTGAGTGCTCTAGCCAAGCCCAAGACCCTAGCGTGCAGAGGGGAGCGTTGCAGATGCTCACAGGCCCCTGCCCCATTCTGCCTGTTTGCAGCCATTTTAGCTGCATCCACCTTGGAGGAGGAACCTCCTGTCCCTTCTGTTCCTCTTTCTCCTCCCCTGCCCGCTTTTCCTCTCTTCCTTCCTTGGCCCTCAGACCCTCTCTTACCCCCGACCATCTCTTTCTCTCCTCCTTCTCCTCCTCTATCCTGGGTCTGGGCTCACACTGAGGATTGGCCATGCCCAGGGGACGGCGTCCTCAGAGTCTATGCTGTGGGGTGCCCAGGGGTGCAATCTCCTCATCACACTGTGGGCATGGCACCCACCCCCATGCATGCCCAAGCTAATTTTCCGAGGAAACAGCTAAAAGGGCTCAGAACCCAGAGCTGGATTGCGGATTTATTAGCTAGTCAGCTTTGCCTTTTTACAGATGGTGAAACAGAGGCCCAAACAGAGCCCCAAACATTGCCTGAAATCTCCTCCCCTAACTCAGGTCATGGGCTGGGGTCATAGCGGTGGACCAGACTTCCCTGCCCTGGAGCATAGTTTGGTGGAAGCTTGGGGAGAAGAAGAAAAAACAACTACATTTCTTTTTTGTAACTTAATTCATAAATTTCTATGAAAAGATTGAAAAGCTAAATCCCATTAGACATTGGGTCTCCTTGATTATTAGAAGAATGCCTCTTGGCAGTGGCAGTGTGTAATCCTGACCTTATATAATAAAACATCTCAAAATTACAAATCCCAAATCCTGTGTCTGGTGACCTTTCAGGATCTGCAGTCCCTCAAACATTCTTGGCAACTCCGGAGTCCTTCCCTCTGCCTTTAGATAGCCCAGCCTCCCTTGGGGCAGGCAGCACTGGGGTTATTTTTACACTGCCTTTACAGATGAGGATCCTGGGGCTCAGGGGGTTTGCTGAGCTGGGTCTGGATCCCAGTCCCTTGGGGCAGGGCTAATGCCATTTCAGTGTATCCCTGAAAGAGCAGTCAGGGCTGTGCAGGGGGGTGGATGGGAGTGTGTCCCATGGGTCTTCTCTATCCGGGGGACAGCAGAAGTGGTGAATGAATGTGCTTTTTGTTTTCTTCCTCTCTCCTCTCTGAACTCTCTCCCAACCACTTCTCCTGCCTCCTCTGACCCACCCAGCCTGTTGGGAGATCTTGCATCCAGGTAAATTCCTCCCTTCCACCGTTCACCCACCTTCCTGGAGGGCCTGGAGCCCATTGGGTTGACTGACCAGAATCACAGGGCACTGGGTTGGAAGGAATCTTAGTGGTCATTTCAGATTGCCAGGTTCAGGTGTGAGCTGGGAGACACAATTTCTCCTTAACAAACCTTACCTTGCTCTTCCATCCCACCCGAGTGACAGGGACCTTTACAGAGAGCAAAGCCTGATTACATTGATACAGGGAGTGGCCCCCAAGAGAGCAGTTTGAATTACTGATCACCTGAATTATAGGAGCTTTTGGAGAAATGCAGACTTCATGACTTTCAAACTTCTACACTAGTGAGGATGAACTGCTGGCCGAGTGTTGCTAAGGAGAGGTCCTTAGGAGATCCTATTTTGTAAACAAGGTCTCCTTGCAGCCAGCTGGATGCACTTATATTCCAAAAATGCATGTACCCCAAACACAGCAGTTTGGCCTCCTCCTGTCACAAGATGGCAGTGTGGCTCATCCTAAGAAATCTTAGACTAATTTGACAGGTGAAATTCGTTCAATTCAATTCAGTTCCATATAATTCAGCAAAGATTTCCTCACCCCGGGCTTGTGTCCAGGCTAGTGCTGAGTGCCAGAGTCCCAGAGAGGAATCAGATGTGGCCCCTGACCTTATCATTCCTGGCCCAGTAGAAGGTTAAGATCCAGATTCTTCCACTAAACTGTTGGCAAACCCAGTCTTCCACTAGCTCCATTCTGAAGCAATCCCCAAAGCAAAAGGAAAAAAAAAAAAAAGAGAAGAAAAAAAGGCCAAATAGCTCTGACAGCCTTGTAAAACCCCCAGGTTCCCACTGAGGGGAAGTAATGATTCTGGCAGGCACAAGCTTCACATTTTTATTTGATTTTTAAATTCTTTTTGAGACAGAGTCTCGCTCTGTCGGCCAGGCTGGAGTGCAGTGGCGCCATCTTGGCTCACTGCAACCTCTGCCTCCCAGGTTCAAGCAGTTCTCTCCCTCAGCCTCCCAAGTAGCTGGAATTACAGGCACCTGCCACCAACCCCGGCTAATTTTTGTATTTTTATTAGAGACAGTATTTCACCATCTTGGCCAGGCTGGTCTTGAATTCCTGACTTCATGATCCACTCGCCTCAGCCTCCCAAAGTGCTGGGATTACAGGCGTGAGCCACTGTGCCTGGCCTAATTTTTGTATTTTTAGTAGAGATGGGTGGTGGGGGCAGCGTCTCACCATGTTGCCCAGGCTGGTCTCGAACTCCTGAGCTCAAGGGATCCGCCCGCTTTGGCCTCCCAAAGTGCTGGGATTACAGGCTTGAGCCACTGTGCCTGGTCAAGCTTCACAGTTTAACTCAGCCCTTTAGCTGCCTCATCTCCCAGAAGTTCCAGTGGTTCTAGAAGACAGGCTATCTAGAACCTGTTGTTATCCCCATTTCCACGTGGAGCTCAGTGAGACTCAAAGCTAGAAAGTGCTGCACCAGCGAGTGGTGAGGCTGGTGGAACAGACCTTTCTAATTGCATGGCTTGTGCCTCTGACCACTCCATTCCCTGTCCCTTCCTCTTTCCCAACTGGGCTCTGGACAAAAAGATCAGTAAGATGTGGCTTGTGCCTGTAGGCACTCGCAGTTGGGGGGTCTCCTAGGGTGATGCCACCCCAAGCTGAGAGGAGCCTTCAGGGTTGCTTTTGTTGGTCTCAATTCTGCTACTGTCACACAGTGATCAAGGGTGTGGCTGTGGAGCCAGAATCTGCTATCACTTATCATTAATAGCTGTGTGACCTTGGGCACGATATTTTAATCTCCTCATGTCTCAATGTCCCAGTCTGTACATTGGGGATAATAATAGGGTTGTTGCGAGGATTAAATGAGTTACTCTATGGAAGGGGCTTACAGTAATCCTTGGCACAGGGTCAGTACCATGTGAATACTTGCTCTTATTCTGTCCATCAGGGCCAAGTACAGAGAAAGCCCCATCAGAAGCACTGGCTGGTGGCTGGGTCTTCCCGACTGCTTTCTCCTGCATCCCCACAGCGTGGACAGCCTTGGGCCCTGGGGCCATCCTAAACCTGACTAAACTGACCTCCACAGTGCTTCATCCAGATTGCAGGGGTGCTAGGGTCACCTGAGCACTTTTACAAGAGTGCCCTGGAGGTGTTGGGAGATGGGATGGTGTGAGGGTGGGAGGAGTTCCAACCTGGAAGTTGGGAAGGGCAGTGTCAGGGGAGGTGAGGGTGGCTGTGGCGATTTGAGGTGGGCAGGGTCCCAGGGCACCTCTGGAGCCCCGCAGTGACCATGGTGCATGCTGCCCTGGGCAATCCTTTCCCACCCCTGGGCCTCCTCCCAGCCCATGGGAACCCAGGGAGCCTTCTCAGGAAAGGGGAGGCTTCCATTTCTTTTTGGAGCCAGAGGAAGTCTCCTCATCCAGCTCCCAGGCAGACCGAGGCTGTGAGTGGCAGAACTGGGGCTGGAGGGCATCTTTTGGATCTACCTCCTCTGATGGCAAAACCCTTCGCAGTCCTCCCTGACAGGGCGTTGACATCGAGTCTCACAGCCTGCGAGTCTGCTCAAGGCTCACTGGGTCTGGGTCTCTTTCAGTGATGTGGCTGTGGAACTGCCTTTCACCCTAATGCACCCCAAGCCCAAAGAGGAACCCCCGCATCGGGAAGGTGAGCAGGATCTGTGGGTCTCTGGGGTAGGGATTCTCCAGCAGCTGCCATGTGACCCTGTAACCTACACCCCCCCCCCGGTTTGCCCTCAGCCCAGTCACCCTTTTCTCAGGTCCCCACATCTTTTGTGGGATCCAGAACTCGATTTGCTTCTGGCCCAACCAGGACACAGTGAGGCGTGGCTCCTGTTCCCCATGGGAGAGAGAGACCAGGAGTGGAGGAGGGAACTCACTGACCATGCTTTGAGCCTCTATCTTGCACCCAGGCATGGGCTGGATCCCGTTTGGAAGTAGGGGAAGGGGCTGCTTGGATAAGATGACCGCTGGACACACTATTGTCATGTTTTTCTCCTTTTTTTTTTTTTTTTTTTGGTTTTGAGATAGTCTCACTCTGTTGCCCAGGCTGGAGTGGATCTTAGCTCACTGCAACCTCCGCCTCCCAGGCTCAAGAGATTCTCCTGCTTCAGCCTCCCAAGTAGCTGAGATTACAGGCGGCTGCCACCACACCTGGCTGATTTTTGTATTTTTAGTAGAGATGGGGTTTTACCATGTTGGCCAGGAGGGTCTCAAACTCCTGACCTCAGGTGATCTGCCTGCCTCAACCTCCCAAAGTGCTGGGAGTACAGGCATGAGCCACCGCGCCCGGCCTGTCATGTTTTTCAAGTGATAGCAGATTGGTCATATTTCACTGAATCTGAGACTTTCAGTGAAGAGAGACAACATTATAGTAGATATGATTAGGAAAAATCTTCCATGGTTAAACTGTGCAGTGCCATCGACGGTAAGATACACTCAAAGTTCAGAGATGTTAAAATGTGAAGGAAAATATACAAAAGATTGTCTGGTTGGGCACAGTGGCTCACTCCTGTAATCCCAGCACTTTGGGAGGCCGAGGCGGGTGGATCACGAGGTCAGGAGATCAAGACCATCCTGGCTAACACAGTGAAACCCCATCTCTGTACTAAAAATACAAAAAAATTAGCCGGGCATGGTGGCAGGCGCCTGTAGTCCCAGCTACTCGAGAGGCTGAGGCAGGAGAATGGCGTGAACCTGAGAGGCAGAGCTTGCAGTGAGCCGAGATCGCGCCACTGCACTCCAGCCTGGGCGACAGAGCGAGACTCTGTCTCAAAAAAAAAAAGATTGTCTTAGAGTTGGTAAATGTCATACATGCTAGGAATTAACGTAAGTCATGTTGGAGACCTCCCAAAAGAAACAGAAGTTAGAGGATTTTCTGTTCTTCTGGGGCTGCAGTGGGGATTGGGGCCCTCCTGGTGCCCTCCTCCCTGCCTTTCAGATGCCTTGGGGTGTTTCAGTACCAGGAATGAGTCCTCCCCCCTCTCCATTCCCCTTTTTCTTTTGCACTCCTCATGTTAGTCTGGTTGTCCCAGGGTGGGAGCCTGTGCCTACTCGCCCCGTGCTCATCCACTCACTAACCCCTGGACACTCTGCCCACCCACCCTGTGTTTAGTTCCAGAGAACCAGACGCCAGTAGATACCAATCTCATAGAACTTGACACAAAGTAAGCCGAACCCTGCCTGCAGCATCGGGGACGGGGCGGGCCGTGGGTGGGCGGGGCGGAGGGGTCATTTGCATATATGCTTATTAACCCCTGAGGAGCCGCTGGTCTAACCCCGTCTGCTGAGAGCTGCCTCTGCTCGCCTCTTCAGCAATCCGCTTGCCTGCATGTGACTTGAAGGACCCTCCGTGCCTGTTCCTCTTCCTCCTGCCTTGGTGGGGTCTGTCTTCCTCCCTCGTCCTTGCACGTCCGTCCGTCAGTCTGTTCGTCCATCCACAGCGCCTGCTCGGCTCACACAGGGCTGGTCCATGGCCCTGGGCTCGGCTTTCCTGTCCTGCCCACGCCAGCCAGTGGAATCAGGCTGTGGGGTGGGCAGGGGACTGGGGATCTTGTTGCTTCTGACTCCTGAGGACCAACCGATGTGGATTTCCCTGCGGTCAAAGGCCATCGAGTCACCGGACAGTGGCCAGAGGGGGAGGACCTGGGCCGACTGCGAGAACCACCTCCAGGGCCAACTGGTTTTCTTGCTGCAGCTCCAAAGCCAATCTTCCCTTGTCCCCCAGGAGAAATCTGGGGTGTGGGAGTCTCAAGTCACCCCATGAGGATGCCGCATGCACTGGCTGAACCCTGTTGGGCAGGGGACCTGGATGGACCCCTGCATGGTCCTAAGTGGACATGTTTCATGGTAGAAGGGAACTCGCTGTTCTTAAAGGCAGTCCTTAGTCCTGAAACCCCACTTAAGCCTCCCCTTTCCTCACGAACAGGTCCTCTACTCCCCTATTTAGATTCACATCCTCCTACCCCAGCCTTCTCCTGTGTGGGATCCCCCATGGTAGAATCTGAGCTGACACTTCCTGGGAGAAAGGTTCTCCATGGTCTTCTCTTCCATTAAGCCAAACTACTCCTTCCTGTCCAGAAACGGGAATGCTTCATAAGGGTAGTTTTCTGGGTGGTGGGGTGGGGTTTACCAGTCTTATTCTTGGGGGATTCAGAACATGCTGTGAAACAACTACTGGTGGCCTGGCCTCTTAAGTCCTTCCTTGGGCTACAGAGCCACACTGCTCCCCCCACCTCCTAAAGAACCGGGTTACTTTTCTAGCCCTTAGGCACAAGAGTCAAATTCATGCCCCTCTCTGCCCCTTTCATGACTGGCCTGAGTCCTGATGTGACTGTCCTTACTGCCACAGGTGGTATCCACATGTGCCTGCCAGACAGGCCTTTCTGCTTATGGTCAGCCGCCGAGGCCAGAGACCTCAGAAAGGGTGGTTCTCTCCCCGGCCCCAGAGCCACACTCTGAGTCACCTCTGGCCGGGCCTCTGGATAAGCCTACTCTCCCTGCCCCTGCAAACACGCCACATTTTCCTTGTCTCTCCCACTAGTGATGACGACATTGTATTTGAGGACTTTGCCCGCCAGAGACTGAAAGGCATGAAGGATGACAAGGAAGAAGAGGAGGACGGTACCGGCTCTCCACAGCTCAACAACAGATAGATGGGCCGGCCCTGCCTCCACGTGGCTCCGGCTCCACTCTCGTGCGCTCGGATGCTTATTCGTCTTCTTCCCGTTCTGGTTTATTTTCCCCTTTGTTCTTCCAGTTTCTACCAGGGGGGCCTGTGGCCTTCCAGATCACGGTGATGAACCTCTGACCTCAGGATTGGCCCCACATCACCATGCCAACAGGACCACAGCACACCGGCTCCACCCCATCTCTGCCATTGCCTCTCCACTCCCCTCCTTTTCATTCTGTCTCCCAGAAAAGCTGCCAGGGTTCTGGCCTTGGAATTGGACTTGAGATGGGGAGCAGACAGGGGAGGATGGGGCATGCAGGACACGGTGTGGTGGGCATGAGGGCTTGGAGGGGTGGGGATGAGGGCTCAAGACACGAGAGAAGATGTCCACGGTTCCAGGTGGTTAACAAAGTTCTGGCAGCTAAAAGATGACCGCATTGAAGGCCACCTCCTTCTGGCTGGGAGGGGCAGATCTGTGGACAGATTCTCAATGCCTTTTTGAAGTTCTGACCCACCAAAGACCTTCTGCCTTCACCCTCCTCCCCACCCGATGTCCCTCTGTGTCTGATAGTGACGTTGGTGAAAGTTTGTAGACCACAGGAGTAGAGAAAAGCAACTGGAGTGACTTTCTTACCAGCAGTTACCTAGACTGAGGCAAGCTGTGTGGACTCAACAAAGTATATTTCAGTACTGTCAGGATGTGACATCTTAGCTACCTTGTATTTCAAGTGCATGGGCCTGTCTAGAGATATGCAGAGAGAAAAGCAGAGGGAGGGAGGGAGGGGGTCTTCAGCAAGCACCAGCCCGCAGCAGAGTTAGCTGAAGCTCTTGATGAGGGTTCCCGAAGTGGGCCGCTGGGAGATGGAGGCAGGGGGTGGGGAGAGGAGAGTCTGCCTTATGTCCCTTCCTTGTGGACTTCACATGGTCATGTAGGAAGTGAGGATGGGGGTCTAGCAGGGGCTGAGGCCACTAGTATCCTCCTGCTTCCCCCTGCCATTCTCCAGGGCTGGACTGAACCTGCAGACTGGGAGAGTGTGCCTGAGGCCACCATGCCGCAAAGGGGGTCCTATCCCAGAAGGTGGCAGCATCCATGGAGATATCCTCACCCAAAGGGAAGGAGGCTGCTGGGTAGCAAATAAGCCCCTTCTTTTCTTGGGGAGTTGATGACCTCCAGTAGCTCCCAGTGTCATGGGTACCCAGTACGCATTGGCTGGTGTTGGCGTGATTGAGACCTAGGGCAATTCCTGGGGCAAGAAGCCAGATGGGAGATGAGGTAGAAAGTGTTAGGAGTTATCCTCTTTGCCTGGCCTTTGAGAATAACTTACTGTGTGACTTTGGGCAAGTTCCTTCCCCACTCTGCGCCTCAGTTTCTCACTTGGGAAAGCAAGGAGTTTGACCAGATGATCACAATGGGCCTTCCTAGCTCTGGCCACCAAGAATTTGGGAATGTTAGCACTCCTGGTCTGGTGGGTGGATCCAGAGCTGCTGCCTGGTCTCTCTGTCTCCAGAGTGGATTTATTGGACCTCAGAGGTGGCAGGGCCCTATGGAGCACCAACTCCCCTCAACTCCACCCCCTGCCCAGGACTGGGAAGGGATTGATGTCAGGCTGTGCCCATAGCTAGCCTGAGTTGCCCAAGGAGGAGCAGAGCATGTCTTTGCTGAGGCTTGGCTGAGGGGCTTGTGATAGGGCCTGCAGTACCTCACTGCCCCCTGTGGATGCAGACACCCTGAGGTTTACCCAAACAAATACATTGATTAGCAGGACAAGGGCTCTCTCCTCAGTTTCTGCTCCCTTCCATCTCTGTCCCATACTTGTCTGAAAAGGGAGACAAAAAAATCTTATGCAAGTGGCATCTCAGTCCTTTCCAGTCCAGCACCTCCTGGGCAGGCAGTGCGACTTATTTCCCACGGTGAAATCACCTGTTTCACAAGCCTGGCAGTGCGACTTCTGAGGCTCATGACCACTCAACCTAAGGGACCCCTCCCCAGACCAGAACCAAGTCAGCTAGGGGCAGTCGTACTCCCCGGTCTCCCAGGCATCCAGCCCCTCCTAGAGCTTGCTGGGCAGGCTGCACCTCATCTGGGCAGGCACAGAGCTGATGAAATGCTGGAGCAGTGCATGGCAAACATACACCCCTCCCCCCCCCCCAGTGTCTTCTGAAACATTTGGGGCTGACACAAGACCCTTTAGTGTTCGGAATGACCTCTTTCCTGAAAACCTCTTCCCCTATCCCTAACGCATGCATGGAAAAGGTTTGTCAGGCTGGTTTCCCGAGCCTCCGCCTGAACATCACACTCACCCTTTTGGGTTTAGCCCAGTGTTGTTTAGCAGATTTCTCCAGCTGCAGGGAAGGATCAGAGTATTATCTTTTTTTTTGTTTTTCTCCTTGAGCCAGGACTGTACAAAGCAATGGCCAAACGTAGTTGAATTCAGCCTACCATCCTTTGCTGATGACTCAGCTCTATGCCAAGTACAGGAGACACAGAGATGGGTCAGTCCCAGCCCCCATCCTCAGGAAGTCCATAGTCAGGGGAACGTTGTAGGGGGAGGTAATAGAGGGCAATTGCCTTCAGGGCTCCTGGTGGCTGCTGGTCCCTATTGTACCTTGATGTGAGTTAGAAGACGGTGCCCTTTCCAGGTGATTCAGACCCACACTAGAATGCGTAGCTTTGTGAGTGACACACAGGTTGGATTTTGGCACCCCTTTCCCCTTGGCCAGGTGCCCTGCTGCACAGCCATGTGCTGCAGCCTCGAGGGACACACAGACCAAAGTGTTTCCTTCAGCTTCTTCCTGGAGAGGAAGCACCAGGTCATGTTTCCAAGCTTCTGGTCAACTCCAGGCACCACCTCCCAGCCCCCAAACATGGCCAAGTGAGTGCTTCTCTGCAGGGCCCCTTTCCCTTCTGGAGTCAGTCTGTCCAGGTGAGACCTTGAAGTGAAACTAGAGGTGGCGGAGCCTCACTAGGCCGCAGGCACCAGCCCACAGTACTGGCGGTTACTGTACCAAGCATTTGGGGCCTGCGCTGGCCACGCCGTCCGTCACCGGGACTTTGTAGTGCACCCTGTGGGTGGCGTGTGGACACCAGTCTTGACAGGAAGGAAGAGCATGGCCTGGTGAAAACCCACTGAGCAGAGGGCCAGCTGGCCCTCCTCAGCATTCCACCCAGGGGAAGAGTTCAGTCCCCACGAAAATAAGGACTGAGTTATTTGGCTGCACCTCAGCGTCAAAGCTCAGCCCTGCTAGAGTGGGTTCACCTGGCTGCTGGTTTTGTGGGAGAGTTCCTGACAAGCTGGTTCCTACGTGGTGCAGTAAAAGGAATTCTGCCCTGGAAGTCCCCAATGCCACCTCTCAGTCCTGGCTGTCACCAATCACCTGGGGGACTTGGGCAAGCTACTCAACCTCTGGGGCTCAGTTTCCCTAACTGTAAAATGGGATTATAATCCCTTCCCTTCCTGACGCAGGAATTGTTATGAGGCCCAGATGAGACGAAAGTCAGCGGTCAGGGCTCTAAGTTGAAAATGGCTGCATGGGTGTGGCCCTGCCACTGCAGGGATGGCCCAAGGTCACACAGGAAGTTTGCTGCAGGAGAAGCCCTCCCCACCAGTCTTCATCACGTGCCCTGCTTCTCACTTAGGTAGATGTCAACCGGAATGAGACACAGCTAATTTGGCTTTGATGACCTAGCTGAGCAGGAAATTTAGACACGATTCAGGAATATCATGTACAAAAATAGTGGTCCCATCAACCAGGGCACAGAGGGAAGACATGGATATTGTCAGTGAGTGGTGGAGGCGGACATCTCGGACCCTCATAGGTCTGGAGTCACATCTCCCATCTGTCAGAACCCCACAGAGGCCAAGGGGCCTTAGCTCTGACCCCAGGTTAAAGAGAATCACCAGCCCCCAGGCTCAGGGAGCTGAAATCACCCATCTGCAGAAAATCTAAGGGCAAGGAGAAATAGAAATTGCCTGTTCCTTCCCTTGAAAGTGTAAGGCCTCTTGCAGGATCAGCTGGAGCTACCACAGCTTCTCAGTGACATTGGGAGGGTTTCAGGCCCAGGGAAAACCTAAGCCTTTTGCCCTGAGAGCTGAGCCACAGCGGATGCATTCCCCCAGTGGCGTCAGCAGTCCAGAGCGGCAGCTTCTCTCCTGCCAGTCACTGGGGACTGGTTGTTCTCCATCCATCCAGGAGGAAGGGTTTAGGTCCCAGTCTTACACTTTTTTTTCTTTTTTTTTGAGACGGAGTCTCGCTCTGTCACCCAGGCTGGAATGCAGTGGCCAAATCTCGGCTCACTGCAAGCTCCGCCTCCCGGGTTCACGCCATTCTCCTGCCTCAGCCTCCCGAGTAGCTGGGACTACAGGCGCCCGCCACCTCGCCCGGCTAGTTTTTTGTATTTTTTAGTAGAGATGGGGTTTCACCGTGTTAGCCAGGATGGTCTCGATCTCCTGACCTCGTGATCCACCCGTCTCGGCCTCCCAAAGTGCTGGGATTACAGGTTTGAGCCACCACGCCCGGCCCAGTCTTACACTCTTAAAGGGTCTCATGGACATAGGCCTATGCCTGTTCTGATACGTATATTTTTTAAACTCAAAAGGACCAAAACAGACTCCTGAACCCTCATCTATATGGCCTTACGGCCTGCATTGGGCCTGGTATGTCTTCCTGGCCCAGGCAGCTCCATCACTTCTGCCATCCCTTCTGGACTAAAGTTGCAGGATCCCTGCCTCTACCACTTCCCCAGAGGGTCACTGCACAGCGGCTTCAAAGAGAGGCCCTGTTGAAGGGGAAACATCCTCCCCGCATCACACTCCCAACTCGTCACCCCAAAAGGGAAGTCAAAGCACAGGTCTGTGGGGCCCATGGTTTGTAGACACTGATACAGTGGTTTTCAAACCAGGTGCTGCGGAACCCCTGGTATTCCACAGAGCTTTGTCAGGGGATGCTAAGGTGGGAAGATGGGAGTGGAGGCAAAGGATAGGTTTCCAGCCCTCCTCCCATTTCCACCTCCACCAGAACAACTCTGCTTTTATTTGTCTTGCCTACTAAGATTTCATTTTCAAGCTTTCTTTGAAGAAAAACTTCAAACCACCATCTCCAGGTTTGATCTTAGACCAGCCAGCACAGGTTCTATTCTTGCTGCTCATGTTGGAATGGCTCCAGCATTTCAGTACAAAGTGTCTTTGTGTTGGAACCTGACACACACACACACACACACACACGTACATAGTTGATGTTTTTTCTAGCCAACCCACCCTGAAGCTCTGGCCAAGATTTGATTTGAACAGGGACCTGGTGCTCAGTGGGGATGGGTCTTGACCCTGATATTGGCCCATGAGGCATGGGGAGCTCTGCAGCAAGGAAAGAGGCTCAATCCCCCACCTAGGACTTGTGTCTGCACCCCTGTCTGGCACCCCACTTTCCTGGCCCAGGCCCAAGGGACAGCAGAAGAAGCAGTGTGATGGAGAGAGAGCCTAGGGTTAAATTCATCTTTACACAGAGCCAGATGGATGGAAATCTTGGCTCACATAAAAGACAGACTCAGGGAGGATTTTATGACAAAATCCCTCCTTTGAGGGCAGGATTCCCCCAGGAATCCTGTACACTTTAGTGAGACATGGATCAGCCCGTGGTACAAAGTCCTGCCTGCCCTGCCCCCCACCCCCACCCCACAAGGAATTCTAGGTGAAAATGTGGAGCTCAGGGCACAGCAAGCGCATGACATGGGTATATTACATTAGGTCCGAGTGTGTCCTTAGTTTCAATGTGTGTAAAATAAGGCTAGTGCCAGGCTCTTCCCACCTCACTGGGACAATTGCAAGGGTCATAGGAGAGTTGGGTATGATAGGTGGTCATATGAGGTGGTGAGTGTAAGAAGTGGGTGCCTCACAAACTCGGGGTGTGGTCCTGACCTGCATGGCAGATGAGGAGAGCACTTGGGAACGAGCATAGGAAGTGCCGTCTTCCCAGGCATCTCTGCTCCGTGTTAAGGTCTAGCCACAGATGCTGTGGGACCTGCCTCTTCCTATGGAATGGGGGCCTGCATGGATTGTGTCCTGGGGCAGGAGTGAGGGATGGCTGGGAAGAATCTGCAGCTCTGTGGCCCTTGTGTCGAGTGATTATTTTGTGACACTCTCATTCCTGGACCACCTGCCAGGTTTATCTGTTATACCTGTGGCATTCTTATGTCAGACAAATTATTATAGTTTATTCAACTCTAACAAATGAACAAAAGAATAATAAATAGGAAGCCATTAAAGGTCTTTTGTGGCAGAGGATGCTGGCTGCGCTTTCATTTTTGTCTCATAAGCCCATGGCAGGTCAAAGACCAAGAAATGCTGCCCTGCTGTCCTGGACTGGCAGATGGCTCTCATGACTGGGTGAGGAGCTCTCTTCCCTTGTCTGTGGCCCCAGCTCCAGCTTGGTCCTTGTACCAACTTGTGGAGACTGCCAAGAACTTTTCTCTGTCCCTCTTCTGTCACTTTTCAGCCTTATGGCCTTGGGAAGCTGGCAAACCTCTCATCCCTCTCAGATACCACAGGATTTCATGACCCATGGTTTGCTCTGGGGGTGAAGCCATCCTATCTTCTATCTTTGGCACCACACTGACCACATCAGCAGGAGTCCTCGCCCCAGCCACAGCCCTGGTTCTTGTTCACTTATCTCCTGCTCTGCTGGGTCTTCCTGAAGTCACTTCAGTTTTCTAAGACTTACCTGCCACCTGGTCTAACAGAACATATGGGAGGAGTAAGGATATCAGTGAGGAAGGGTTGATGTTCCAATAGATAATGTACTGTATTAACACGAAAGGAAGACGCCCATGCATATAAGATGACTTTCCTAGAAAATATATGAAATATATTTATATATTTCATACACACACACACACACACACACACACACACACACACACACACACACACATATATTTCTGCCTCTTGGGTTTAAGAGATTCTCATGTCTCAGCCTCCCTGGTAACTGGGATTACTAGTGTGTGCCAACACATCCATCTAATTTTTGTATTTTTTGTGAGACAGGATTTTGCCATGTTGGCCAGGCTGGTCTTGAACTCCTGGTGAACAACATATTTTTAAACATTCCTGTAAAATACTGTGCAATGTAGATCAGAGCATTGCCCTCCTAGTTGGCCAGAAGGGAGCCTGTTTCCTCTGATGTTCCCTTCCTGTCAAGAGTAGGGCAGTGGGAAGACATTGACACTTGAATCAGGAGACTTGAGCTACAGCTTTTGTTCAGCTGCCCTCCCATATGGACTGTGTCAGTCTGAGTCCAGATAAGCAGTCTATCCCTGTAGCAAGAATTTAATTGGGCCAGATGCAGTCACTCATGCCTGTAATCCCAGCACTTTGGGAGGCTAAGGCAGGAGAATCTCTTGAGGCCAGGAGTTCAAAACCAGCTAGGACAACAAAGGGAGACCCCCCATCTCTCAAAAAAAAAAAAAGAAAGAAAAGAAAAGCCAAGAGTAGTAGTGCATGCTTGTAGTCCCAACTACTTGGGAGGCCAAGGCAGGAGGATCCCTTGAACCCAGAAGTTCAAGGCTGCAGTGAACTATGATCATACCACTGCACTCCAGCCTGGGTGGCAGAGCGAGAAATTGTCACTTAAAAAAAAAAAAAAAAAAAAAGCTAGGTGCAGTGACTCACTCTTTGGGAGGCTTGCTTGAGCCCAGGACCAGCCTGGACAACATAGTGAGACTTCATCTCAAATTTTTTAAAATTAAAAAAAAAAAATAGAAAGCAATTTAATTGGGGAAATGTTTATTAAATGTTGGATGAGATGAAAGTGCAAATGGGGTTTGAGACCACCCAAAGATGTGGCACAATAGGAGACCGTTACTACCCCTAGTGTGGAGGGACGAGGAGAGGAACTGAGGAACCAGAGCAGCCTAGCAGGAACATGGAGGAAGAGGGTATCTATGAAAGCCAGAAGCACAGAGGAAACACTGCCCTTGCTGGGAATGCTGCCCAAAGCAGAGACTGTAGACATGCTCTGGCTTCTTCTCTTCTCCTGCCCTCCAAATTCAAGCCAGTGCCTCCCACTGGCAGAATCTAATTAAAAGCTTATTTTCAAGAAATTTGAAAATGTAGTTTGCGATGGTCAGGGCCTGACAATACAGAGCAAGAGAAGGTCAAGGAATTTGATCTGAGATCAAACAGGCAAATGGCAAGCTCTTCCTGAGTGTTCTCATCCAAAAAGTAGAAGTAGTAATGTCGGCTTGGTTACCACAATTTAGAAGGAATGCCTTGACCTCTGAACAGGATTCCAAACAAGAGAGAGATATTTGCTGTTTTCTTAATGCCACTATCACTGTCTTCACTGTGCTTTGGAGCTTCATTTCTCCTAGCTTTTTTAAACTCCAGCAAATCAAAAGAAACTGAGCAGGAGGTTCAAATTCTGGCCAACATGGAGTAAATCCATTATAGCCTACCTCTCCTACTGAATACACCTGAAAACACTGGACAAAAATACAAAACACAATTAAATAACAACTCTGTGAAAGTTAGACAAAAGAAGGCAAATGATACAGGTGATTTAAAATTTAGAGAAGTCATCTCCATAGGATGATTTTCCCATTTTTTCTCTTTTCTGGTGGTTTTTCACTAAGATTAGAACCACCACCCACAGAAAGTGAGACAGAGCTTAGAATCTGAACTTAAGTTGGTTCATTGTCTCCTGGAACAGCAATAACAACACAATCAACGTTCTATAGAGGATTATAGCAGGACCCAGAGTCTATACAATATAACATTCACAATGTCCAGGACACAATCCAAAATTACTCAACATACGAATATGGTAGTCTCCCCTTATCTACGGGGGATAAGCTCCAAGATCCCTACTGGACACCTGAAACTGCAGATAGTACCAAACATTTTACATATTATGTTTTGTTCTATACATACATACCTATGATAAAGCTTAATTTATACATTAGTTACAATAAGAGATTAACAACAATAGCTAGTAATAAAATAGAACAATTATAACAAATGCCAGCATCACTACTTTGCACTTTGGGGCCAATGTTAAGTAAAATAAGAGTTACTTGAACACAAACACTGTGATATTGCAACAGTTGATCTGATAACCAAGATGGTTACTAAGTGACTAATGGGTAGATAGCATACACAACTGAGATACACCAGACAAAGTGATGATTTACATCCCAGGCAGGAGAGAATGGGTCACTGTGATATTTAATC